CTGGTATTGATATCGGCTGCAATCTTGAATGCGTTTATGCATTAATTGCTTGAAGGAAAACCCGGTACAGTAAGCAGGAAATTCATTCGGAACGGACAGTTCCCTCCAAATGTATCGAATAGCCTACAGTATCGAGATAGAGAAACAAAAATATGAAACTTTAGTAAAAATAAATGAACATTTTCAAGCAAATTACTTCCATGGTGCAGCCCTCGATTCTACTGCTGTAGTAGGGCTACGCGTGGCTGGGATAATATTTGACCCCTTTGTTTCTCACCTACGACGACCATCCAAACAGTATCAAGTTAACCTTATTGATGCATGAAAATTCGTTGAAATATAGACCTTTTTGTCTGGCAGTCGGCTACAGTCGTGCCCCTGTACTGTATTCACCACCGTTAGATTTAAAACCTATAATAGTTAGGCTTTGTAAGGATCCTTGATTTAGGCGCTGCAAGTCTTATTGATTCTGAGTTTTGATCAGGTCAACCCTAGAGAATACGAGGAGCACGTAAAAACACTAGCTGCGTTTTCTTTATAACCACTACCAGTGAAAATGATATGCTTACTAAAAGCTCGGTTTAACCTTTAAAACCTAGAGCCTCCCCGTGATAGTCATGGCTTAGTATAGAAAAAAACTAGGCGTCATCGTGACCACAGCAAACATACTCGGTAGTGACGTAGCCGCTGTCAAGTGTGGAGGAAGAGCCAGGACTGCGTCCGGCTCCAACCTGAGGCTTAGGTGCCTCCGGGACGCGATGCTCGCGTCCAGAAGCTGGACTTGTACGGACCATTGGCTGGCGAGCTGCCAGCCCCATCCTACTGCTAATCCTACGAATATACTACCGGTTTTTTCACCGTGTGCTGCTGCTCACTCGGGAACTTGCGCAGCGCACAGCAAGCAGCAGAACTCGGCGTTTTTCTCCCTGCTGGACTTTCAGTCCCATGCAATTGACATTGTTACGACTACTTCCTTCATCGTCATGGTCACCACCCGGAGCAACCGAGAAGCGACCATCGCTCAGCCGCTACTTACTGTCAAGTTGCCTGCCTTGTTGCAGAGGTAAGCCACTGCATATGTAGCGTCCAGTCGTGGCCTTTGTAACGAGGATGCGGGTGCAATGGTAGGCGTTGGCACCATGCCATATTCGATACCAATAAGTTCAGAAGACAACGACGGTTTTGACATTCGAGGGCTTCGTGTTGTTACACGTCTCGGAAACTAAAAGCAAACACGTAACTATTGCATTGACTGAGTGAGGCTGTTGGCTTTGGAGCTCCTAATTACCTTGCTGCTAGAATTGACGCACGATCGCTTCTTCTCGTCGGTCATTGAGTTGACGAGCACCCCCAAGATGAAACTTCTGCAATACTGGTGCTCGTGGAGACGTGAGTCGGTGCTTACGAAAACGTCCATCAGTGCCATAAATCAACCCTACGAATTGCATCGGTTAAGTGAGTGTTATATATAACGCGGCTCTTCAATTGCAGCAACCTTTAGCCGCAATGAACCGGAAAACTAGCTATAAAGACATCATAAAAATAAAGGCACCTTGCCTTAAAGAGCAAACCCAAGTAAATTGTGAAGCCAACCAAAGCCATGTTATGGTTATTTCAACCGCCCAACAACACCACCACAAGCATGCCACGCCCTTGCTACAAGGATCGCTGGACCTGAAGTTGCACGCCACCCCTGGGCGCGTTTGATTTTGCTGGTTAGAACGGACGGCTACTTTTGACTGCGTATGGTTCGCTCCTGCTGGTCCAGTACGCGTCGTTTCTGGTGAGAACTACTAGAGCCACTAGACAAAAATGCTAACCGCACTACACAGTATCAAAACCATGGCACACGTGTTGGTAGCAGTTGACAAAAATAGATTACTATAAAACATTAAATTAAAATTCGCCTATCTTATCTCTAGCCACTACAGGTGACGTCGACTGTCACCCATTTAAAAACTGTATGATTACGAATCTCTATTTCAGCATCAACGCTTCGATTATGTATATGTTCGAGTACTGCATCAGGCCTTAATCTATGAACACAGGAACTGTAAGTAAGATGCTGTGAACGGGAAGAGCTCTGGACGCTGTTGCCTTCGATCGTTTGAAGGATGACAGAAGTCTTCGTGTTCCAAATCCTTTCTTGCGTGATTTCTTATATTTAATCATGCTGCCACATCTGCCTGTATCCCCATAGCATGGTGAATGGTAAGATATATAGCCGCCTGCACGTATCGTCTTCTTGCCAAACTCAGCAATGAAATCCGTTACAGCAGGTGTTCTTGTGCTTACTCTGTCTGTTGGGTAGCTGGTTCGGTCTAGACAGTGAAAGATTGAGTTGTTTGATGCCGACAGCCTCCAAGGATCTTCCGCGCAATGGAGAGAGATGTTTGACTCACAGTTCAAGTACGAACTGGCTTAATCTATTTATGTCTACTGATACCAGCACGTGTACCATGTTTTTGGTAAAGTCTAGTGGGGCTAGCATTTTTGTCTAGTGGCTCTAGCAGTCCCGTTTCTGCTTATCCTGTATGTTGCTCCTACTGACCACGTCTGGTTTGTTCCCCCAACAGACCGCTATTCGTCGCTCCAGATGGTCCAGTACATACGATCCTAGTGACCAAGCCAGTTTCGCTCGGCTGGTTATGCCCGCGCGGACCTTGTTGCCACCGACACGAAAACACTGCTGGATGCGCTGTCCGTGGCGCCGCCGGACGACGCAATATTCAGCAGCGTGTTCTTGAGCGCGCTACTCAGGCTTGCTGCACGTAGCGAACAGCAGTTCTGTTTTTTTATTTTTTAAAAATTTCATTTTATAATTAGGCTTATTGGACCCGCGATATACTAGAGTCTCTTTACCAGACATGTCAACACTGCCTACAGTTCTGAGCGCGTACAGGACGTGCGTTCAGCACCCGTACTTGCAGAAAGCACAAGAAGGATAAATTCTTCCTTCAACATCGACTGCCCTCCCGGGTGGCGGAGTGTCAACCTGCTACGTGCGAGCGGTTTCCACAGCCAACTGAGCAGTGGCAGGTAAGTCCTCGTGGGAGCGTTTGGCTAAGACGTCGTAGATCCAGGTTGCAGGGATTGCAATCACCTTTCCTATCTGACGCTCGTCCTTATTGTTGTTATGGCCTAGTAGAAATGAGATGCTGTTAAGTCGTAGTCGAGTATCGCGAAGAAAGCCAGTGTGGACCAGCGAGTTTGCTCGGCGCGCACAGCGGCTGTCGAAAGCAGGGGTTGTCTGGAGCTGCTGTGCTCGACCACTCTCAGCCTGACAAAGAACAAAGAACAACTCAAGCAACGCACCGACCTTGCGTATGCAGCGTAAGCTGACGTCGCGCCTTAGCGCGGCATTGTTGGCCTCGCATGTGTTATTAGTTGCTGCAAAACCGCGCTCAGTGTGGTAAATTTGCCACACGCGGTCGCTTAACCAGACATTCTTGGAGTAGGCTAACAATTTGTACAAGCTGATTCCACTTGTCCCACTCCTCCAGCACTCCAGCGAGACGTTGCACAGACTTAGATTCATTGCGAGGGACGTACAGCTCGTGCAAATGTCAAATTACCATTGCAGTAATGCAAAATCAAACGTTCTTGTTTTATCATAGATTGTTTTCGCCATGTGAAAGAAGCATATCATGAAGCGAAAAGAAGTGCCCACGTCTACAAAACCTTCTTCCAGGGCATTTCTTTGCCCACTATCGTCGTCGCCCATTGCCAGTTTCACATGTAGTGCCTTACCGATCACTGCCGTGAAGACGCGGCAGAGGATAGGCAAATCTCGCGCTACAGAGATTGTTGCTGCGGCGAATTCAATAAACCAGCTCACAAATTAAATTGGCGGGCACGTTCAGAAATCTGAACGACGGTCACCGGATAGCCCACTTGGGTGAGCTTATCGGGAGGCATGACGAAGGAGGACGAATTCGGTGGCAGCAGGTGGATACAGAAATGAGTGTTTTTGTCTTCAGTTGGAGTAATTGCTGTATTATGAGTGATCAATAGTCAATATATTGACATGCTCTCATTGGATATAATTCACCTTTGTGCCTTTGGGCTGTTTTGTGGTATGGTGGGTCCAAAATCCGTGGTGCTCCTTGGTCTATGGTGATGCCACTCAGTAATATTACGTGACCACCGAGCAACTTACAGTGCTGATGGTAGTTGTTGTCGTGACCAGGGCAGGTGATGGATTTTGGCCCAAAAGTATCTCAATTATTATGAAGGCCTACATACTGTATCAGGTAGTAAAGGTTAAAGATAAAACATCGTGGTCCCATCTGGAATTCTCTACTAGAACATTTTTCAAGGCTAATATCAGATAGGAAACGGTGTACTGTAGATAAGCGCATATAATTTCTACCTGGAATTTAAGACTAACGTTATATTTTTCTGGACTCGTATTAATGTCCTCTTATTTGTGCTAAGCCGCAAAAGACGTAGTTTCGCTAATTGAAAATCGATGCTAAATGTAGAAACTTCGACGTAACATTTAATACTTATTTATAGGCGTGCATTAGTTAGTACATTCAGAAAACAGCATAAATTGTCCTTCTATTCGTTTAATAATTAATACAAGCAATTTCAAACCGCATTATACAAGGCATCAAAGTCGGCTGACATGTGAAACCGAGCGATTGTGGTCATTAAGCACAATCTGACCAAATTGACTGTCATTTTAGATCTCGTAATATCATGAGCTGTGTGGTATAGATTTGGCGATCCTGGTATTGATATCGGCTGCAATCTTGAATGCGTTTATGCATTAATTGCTTGAAGGAAAACCCGGTACAGTAAGCAGGAAATTCATTCGGAACGG